GTATGGATCACTTGGGTTGTTACCAACATCTGGTGAAAATTTCATGTCATTAGCACCTCTAGTAATATATTTACTGAGAAAAATGTTAACGTGTTCAATACTTATTTTACCCGCTGTATACATACAAAAAATATCAGATACTTTAAGACTTTTACTCAAGTAATATTCCCAAAGGAGACTTCAACTTTAACCAAAGTAATATTTTGTAAGATACTTGTACTTTTACTCAAGTATCACTTTGTGGTACTTTATACAACACTGCTTCTTCACACAAACTCTACGTCTGGGAAAGTTTATGTTTTGTTTTTGGAAAAATATTGTGAGCATCAGTTTAACCACACAAACATATAAATTATATTAAATACAAATATTGTACTCCCATTTGTCTCTTTCACTTTTTTTTTTTTGGATTTTTTACTATTATCACCTTCTTTCCTATTAAATTATTTATACCCGAATGATGAATGCAAATAATTTGTTACATATATCATATTCTTCAGTCTCTTCTTTATAGAGATAAAAGCTGATTGGTCAAAAACATGATGAAATGTTTCATAACTACGTCAGCAAATCATGAGAACCATAAAGATTGCTGTAATATACGAAAAAGCTAACAAAACCAAAACAAACAGCTTGAGTAAAAGTTACTGCTCGTCGGTGTTCTCCTGTGCCCCCGTTTGGTAATCGCGCTCCAGTTTGTAAGTTGATATCGAATTGAGTTTTCAACTCAGAGAAGTGCTTTGATAATTCTGCTTCGTGTGAAAGTGATGCGAGGCGCTGCAGGATGTTCCTCGTGTGCTGAAAGCACTAAATACTGAGGATGTAAAAAATAAGAGCAGCATCATTAAGCAATTCTCTTTGAGTCATCTGAAGAGGTGCACGAGGGCTTTACTTCTACAATATTACCAGGAAACTTTGCAGCTCTATAAACATTGTCATAAGAGGTCTTTTTTCCCCTCATTTAGCTGTTTTGTTTTAATCTGTTTAGTAGAACAGCAAAGCTAAATGAAAACACCTATAAAAATATAATTTATTATTTAAAATACCTCAGAAGGAGCCCGTTAGGTGGCTTTTGAGCGACAGAATACTTAACTTGCACATCAAAAGATATTTTAAACTAATATTGCATGAGAGCATAAACAATTGATGCGACGACCTGAATTTCAGATGAGAAGTCGCTCAACAACATCTATGTTTAAACCCATCCCAGCAGATAACACTGTGATGAGATTAGACCAGTAACGTCAATCAAGACCTGATGAAACAGACCACCTCTGTGGTGTTTAATGATTAACGGCTGTAAACAAAAATGGGGACAAAACACACAAATACATATGTATGATTTAAAACTAAGTTCCTGGAGGAACTTTGAATGGATCAGCCACTTTTTTAAAAAATCTTGAATCAGCATGACTCAGAGGACTACCACTGCGCTGAATTTTAGCTGAATATCTCAGGCTGTCTATATTCATGGGTTGCAACCGACGTAGACCCACGTTAGCCACGGTGAACGTGGGCCGTAGGCCGCTTGGGTCGGCTGCATAAACAGCTGTGGATGTGTCCAAATTCAATGGCTGGGTCCTTCAAAAGGACCCAGCCTACCAGGTCTAGGTGGGCCGGGGCTTTGGTCAACCGCAAAGACTTCAAAAAAGATGCTGTGAATTTGGACGATCCAGCCTTCTGCTTTGTTCCCACCCTTACCCTGACATATGTCCTGTCGACTCACAACCATGACGATGCTAAACAGATGCAAAAATAGATTGAAATCAGCAAAATATTAATATATTAGTATTATAAATATCATAAAACAACAAAATTAGCTTAAAGGCAACATTTGAAGAACAGACGTGCACGTTCTCTACTCCAGCTCGTTTGAGTTCTGACAAGAGTAACATAAAAACTTGTCTATGCAAATGACAAAAGCATTAACAACACAACTACTTGAAACTTTTCATTTTTATACCACCAGATTTCTATTTAAAACGGTACTCCTTTCTCCTGCTTTGTCTGCCATTATGAGCAGAACTAAATCTGCGGTCGGCCATCGATGCATTATGGGATATGGTGGGCCGAGAAGGATCCAGCGGACCCGTCCCTAAAATCGGAGCAAAAGGAGGACGCATTTGTGGGCTGCATCGTTGCTCACCAGCAGATAGGGCAGAGCGAGATGCAGCTCTCTGCCCTGCAGCCATGTTTTACTGTGCTAACAGTGGAGCGAAAGCTCAAATCAGGAGGATGAAAGAGAGACTTCACTGCTGGAGCTGCTTGGAGATTTGGAGGAGGATTTTTATTTTTATTTTTTTACTATTATTATTATTATTGATGCCCCAGGTGCCTTTTTATGCACACAAGCAATAACCAGCTAAGAGTGTAACAGCTCCGGTGAGGCTTACCGACAAACTCAAAGCACAGCTGAAGCTCTATAATGACTTCTGGTCACTGAAGACTGGAACGATATCTTCTTGTTTTGCACACGGTGAGTGTCAGCTGGTGGTTTTACACACTCTGGTGAATAAACAGTGTGCATGAGGAGAATTGATTCATCACTAGAGGACTGTCTGCATGCTCAAGTGCTCCTAAACTCGCTCCCCTGCTTGCTCAGCGTATTGATTCAACTCGGTATATACAACCACCTGAAGTGAAAGCGTGATACACTCCCAGAGAGCAAGAGATGGATCATTTAAAGGGGATGGAGTCGAGAGAGAGTGGGAGCTGTTGAATGAATAAATGTGAAGCTAATATGGCAGCAAAATGTGTAACTAATGCAGGACTTGAAGTGTGTGAGGTGTAAAAGAAACTGAATTCAGGTGGGAGGAGTCTTGATCTAGTAATAAGCAGGGCCGGCCCGAGCTAGTTTCAGGCGGTGCCCCTCGTGCAGTTTTCTAAATCTCACTGCCAGTTTACACACATTCACATATGCAATTAAATAGTTTTGACTTTGATATTTTTTTTAATCTTTAGAAACCAGGTTGTCCAATTAGGAACAGAATAACGGAAGTCTACCTCATACCTGTTCATGTTAACCAGCAGCTGTGGACTGAAGCAGCTCTGGGGGGGTGCTCCAGTGGAAAATTTTGTAAAAAAAAAAAAAAAAAAAACTACTCAAAACTATGCATTTTCCAGCCATTTGAATAACATTTTACTGATTATTTTAGGATTGATAAAACAATAAATCAGTCTTTTATGAGGGTAGGACACTAAAAACCAGACTTTAAACTGAACTTTAACCGAGATCATAACTGAAAGTTCTGTTGTCCTTATATTGTTTTCTATTTACACACTGAGCACCCAAGTTGGATTGTCCATAAATTACACAAATTTCCCCAGTTATTAGGGCAGGGGCAGTTCTAGGGGCAGGGCCACAGGGGCATTGGCCCCAGCTGAAATCTGATTGGCCCCTTGAAGTGCCCCCTTTCACTCAACTGTCCTTTACCTGGGAGCGATGTTGGTGGATGTATTTGCATGTTCAAACACTAGAGGCACTAATGAGTTAAATAGGAAAGTCCAGCATGAATCATTCTGAACAATTCTGCAGAAAGTCTTTCAGCTGACAAACGATGCTGCGTGTTTGAGATTATTTTATCTATGTACAGTGAAAATGAATGTAAAACTGGTAAAATTGTCATTACAGGTGTTTGAACACGACCAGTTCAATGCAAACACCTTACCAAAACTGGAGATTTTGTGTGAAAGGCCCCTCTATGAAGATGGTGCCCCCTTGGTGGCCCCTTACTCAGACAAATCCTAGATCCGCCACTGTATTAGGGTCTTTGATAAAAAATTCAAACTTATTTTAGAGCTGTTTTTTTTTTACTCGTAGGGCTCTATGTACTGATTCCAAAACTGTTTAGTTTTTTTTTTAGTTGGACCACCCATTAATGATTTAAAGATCAACAAAGGTTGAAATTTATAAAGCAAGTGCAGCATTTACTTCCATTACATTAAAGCAACTGCGGAGCCCCGTGGACATATTTCGAGTCACAATTTCACAACAATTTTTCAAACCAAAGCAGAAAACAAACTAGATAAAACATTGAGATAGATTTAGAAATGATATGGCGGTCTCAGCATTAGGAGTGACTAAGAATCACAAAAGCATGACCAACTCACTGCCGGGGAAGGACAATGCATTTATCGAAGTGCCTATCTAAGTCCAAGTAAAGAAGACAACAAAAACTGAGCTCAGTGGCTCCTCCAAATCTGAGCTCGGCAGCTCAACAAAAGTCTAAATGTAATCTGGTGCAGCAGCCCAGCCAGCTGAATGTACTCACAGTACCAGTGAAGAACTCCACCACCATGATGATCCTCAGAGAAGTTTTCCTGCTTCAGAGCTGCCTGACCCGTGGTGCTGGTAAGGAACTTCCTGCCACCTTTAACCACAGAGAACTTTGTGCTCCTTGGCCCATAAAGAAAACTCGATCCACCTCGGTTCTCTGATCACTTTCCTTCACCTTCTTTCCAAGAGAAACTTTCTTTTCCACTCGGGCCGTGCCCATCCCCACACCAGAAGAGGACAAATTTGGGGGCGTGGCCATGAGTTTTGGTTGTGAACTCTCTGTGACAAATTTTTATGTTTGGTCAACAAACAGGTAAACATCCAAAGGGGTTAACATATGGGCACAAATTTTAGTCTAATGTAATTTGTACTTGTAAATCTGACTTTGTATTTGTAGATTAAGATTTGTAACTTTAGGATTTGTAAATAGAAATGTGCCTGTGTAAAATAGATTTGTATCTGTGAAAATAAAATTTGTATCTGTAAAAATAAGACTTGTATCTGTAAAAATAAGACTTGTATCTGTAAAAATAAGA